ACTTTTTTAATTAACTAATAAAATGTATCACGTAAAACATTGTGAATATTGTAAAGAATAAATGTGTGCTATTTACGTTAGCGCCACTGTATATGCGAGTGCATGCACATATCGATGTATGTATACATATAACGTCTATAATGAATGCATATATTTACATACATATCTAGGGACATTTGAAAGAACTTAAGTCTATCTACCACGACAAAAAAATAATATATGTCGACAACATATATTTTGGCGCCTAGGGTAAATTGTTGTTTTTCAAAATAAATATTAAATTATTTGATCGCTATCCATAAAGATTTAAAATGTTTCTCTTTTCAACTGAATGTTTTCTTAAAAATATTATTGCTCTGTCGGTAAAAAAAACTCTGTCGACCTATGCTATTATTTTTGTCCGTTAAAGATAGACTTAAGTTGATCTTTCAAATGTCCACAGATATTTTCAGCATGTTTACTTTGTTGTGTATGTACACTGACTTTCACTTTGACTGTTTTTCTAATTTTATATCAATTTGTAGAAGTTCTAACTTCATCTCTGCTTCCGAAATCTCTAATTCGTGTTTTTTTTTGCCCACTGATGTCTTTCGGCTGCTCTCTTGTTCTGATCTTCCCAGAAAGCTTGTTGTTGGTCAAGCTTTGCTTTCCCTTCTCACTTTTCACCGCTGGTTTTTCTGATTTCTTCTTTTTGAGCAGTGTTGGGTTCCAATCGGTTGTAGTGTCCTAAAAATTTTACATTAATTAAGAAATATAATATAGAATATATAATATCTAGAATATACTACATTTTCTACGGCCTCAGTTGCTTCAAGAACTGGCTCCGATGTGTAGCTTCTCATGGATCCCTCCAAAATTTCGGGAACGACGTCATTTTCTGCTATAGTCTCTATTTCATATGTAATGACTGAAATATCATTCATATTATTAAATATCAATAATTATCACGTGTAAACATACAAAAAATCTTACCATCACTATCAAAACTGTTGGAAAAGCCGGTTGCCGACTGCCCCATTAAAGCTGCTAGCCTGTCTGTGTTGGAGTCAGTATAGCTTCGGAATTGGCCACTACCTGTTTTGTACATTTCCCTTCTCTCTTCGGCTAGGGACTTTCTTGCTTTTCGTTTCAAATTTTCATATTTTTCTCGCAAGTTCTTCGGCCCTCATCTGGGCCTCAAACGCAACATCAATTTTCTCCCACACCTTTTTTTTCTCCTCGCAGAATACAACATCAGTCCTTTTATTTTCTAAAATCATGGCGTGCTGCTCGGCCAAAGATATTAATAAAGTCTCCTCCGCGCTGGTAAAGTTTGGAAGGCGACTTTTTCTTTTATTTGAACCCATTTTTTTTTATTGTCCACAAAACACCAAGCTCTTCTTGCGAGATTCTTTAAATTGTTAAAGTGCGTCCAAAAGTGATGTGATACTTGAAGGAATGTGTGGGTTATCATATAGCCTATTCCCGTACTCCAGGATTTGCAGGTTTTACAGGAAGCTTTCCGTCCGCCACGTTCATACAAGGTGTATTAAAGACGAACACAGCCTTTCCTGTAAAACCTGCAAATCCTGGTTACGGGAATAGGCTAATAATTAACGGGTTGGTACACAAATTCGTAAGCACAATGGCGCGTATTCATAGTCCAGCCACTAAGTCGAAACTAATAAAGTTGCAACTTAAATTTAAGTACCAACTTAAAATTCACTTCTATTCATATACTACGTTTATACGTAAGCTATTTGCAAATAAAAATAATTTGCAAATACCTAACTCACTGTTTATTCGATGGTGAAAAATTTTTTTAATATTGCCTGATTATAAAAACGCAATAATATGACCATCGAAAAGGAAAATAAAGTTAAAAATGGCAACGTCTTGATTATAAAAAGGCAATAAGATGACTATCGAAAAGGAAAATTAACCTAAGAATGGCAGCGTCTTGCGCTTATTTGCAAATAGTACCACTAATCAATACTTATTTGCGTGATTTAGTTATTTGCAAATAAAAAATTAACTCAGCGTTTATCCGCCAAAGTTTACCATTGTGCAAATTGTTATTTGCAAATAATGCGTGCGTATAAACGTAGTAATAGTCGCATTTCAGACTTCTACAAAGTAGTTTTAACTTAGTTGTACGATATTGCAAAACGAGTGTGAAAATGTATACATTTTTCTTTACGATATTTTCGAAAAATGACATTTTTATTAAATAATGTCAAGTTTGATCATCCGTTTATGTAATTTTTACTTTCATTGCATGTTTATGCAAAAGACTAAGGTATAAGTTTCTTGTTAATTGTGTGAAATAGCCAGAACTACCGCAATGATGTGAAGTCGATGTTTATCGAAAGCATGCTGTGAAACATACAAACAAATATCTAAATGTTATGCACTAATTTGCTTTAAAAGAACAAGCTTGAAGTTGACTTATTATTTGAGCATTTATATATGTAAATCATTCCAATTATAAAATTGTGACGTAACCTTATTCGAATTGTAATACGCATTTAATTTCACCTTCCGATTCAAATGGATCGCTCTTTGTAAATTTGAATTGGAGATCATTCAATATTATCAAAATCACGCTCCGCCAACTTAATTTTTACATATTTCGTCTTTCTTTCCTTAATTTAATAAAATACTTCTTCCTAGTTACGACTTAATTGCAGCTGCAGCCGAAACTAAATTTTAAGTTGGTACTTAGCCAGAAAAGTCGAAACTAAGGCGACTATGAATAGCTTTAGATGTAAATTAGGATAGTTTCGACTTAGTAATGAACTAAATATGACTATGAATATGCGCCAATATCTTTAACACAATTTTCAATTGTTTGAAACAATTTTGAAACAAGAAAACTGCAAACAAAAACCACACAAAAAACAAAAATCTGCTGTGTAGTCTGCTTTTGTCTATTCACAATAGCGCGCATTCATAGTCCAGCCACTAAGTCGAAACTAATAAAGTTGCAACTTAAATTTAAGTACCAACTTAAAATTCACTTCTATTCACAGTCCCATTTCAGACTTCTACTAAGTAGTTTTAACTTAGTTTTACGATATTGCAAAACGAGTGTGAAAATGTATCGTTTTTTCTTAACGATATTTTCGAAAAATGACATTTTTATTAAATAATGTCAAGTTTGATCATCCGTTTATGTAATTTTTACTTTCATTGCATGTTTATGCAAAAGAATAAGGTATAAGTTTCTTGTTAATTGTGTGAAATAGCCAGAACTACCGCAATGATGTGAAGTCGATGTTTATCGAAAGCATGCTGTGAAACAAACAAACAAATATCTAAATGTTATGCACTAATTTGCTTTAAAAGAACAAGCTTGAAGTTGACTTATTATTTGAGCATTTATATATGTAAATCATTCCAATTATAAAATTGTGACGTAACCTTATTCGAATTGTAATACGCATTTAATTTCACCTTCCGATTCAAATGGATCGCTCTTTGTAAATTTGAATTGGAGATCATTCAATATTATCAAAATCACGCTCCGCCAACTTAATTTTTACATATTTCGTCTTTCTTTCCTTAATTTAATAAAATACTTCTTCCTAGTTACGACTTAATTGCAGCTGCAGCCGAAACTAAATTTTAAGTTGGTACTTAGCCAGAAAAGTCGAAACTAAGGCGACTATGAATAGCTTTAGTTGTAACTTAGGATAGTTTCGACTTAGTTGTGAACTAAATATGACTATGAATATGCGCCAATATCTTTAACACAATTTTCAATTGTTTGAAACAATTTTAAAACAAGAAAACTGCAAACAAAAACCACACAAAAAACAAAAATCTGCTGTGTAGTCTGCTTTTGTCTATTCACAATAGCGCGCATTCATAGTCCACTAATAAAGTTGCAACTTAAATTTAAGTACCAACTTAAAATTCACTTCTATTCATAGTCCCATTTCAGACTTCTACTAAGTAGTTTTAACTTAGTTTTACGATATTGCAAAACGAGTGTGAAAATGTATCGATTTTTCTTAACGATATTTTCGAAAAATGACATTTTTAATGAATAATGTCAAGTTTGATCATCCGTTTATGTAATTTTTACTTTCATTGCATGTTTATGCAAAAGAATAAGGTATAAGTTTCGATAAGGTAGGAAGTCGATGTTTATCGAAAGCATGCTGTGAAACATACAAACAAATATCTAAATGTTATGCACTAATTTGCTTTAAAAGAACAAGCTTGAAGTTGACTTATTATTTGAGCATTTATATATGTAAATCATTCCAATTATAAAATTGTGACGTAACCTTATTCGAATTGTAATACGCATTTAATTTCACCTTCCGATTCAAATGGATCGCTCTTTGCAAATTTCAATTGGAGATCATTCAATCTTATCAAAATCACGCTCTGCCAACTTAATTTTTACATATTTCGTCTTTTTTTCCTTAATTTAATAAAACACTTCTTCCTAGATACGACTTAATTGCAGCTGCAGCCGAAACTAAATTTTAAGTTGGCACTTAGCCAGAAAAGTCGAAACTAATTTCGTTTTCTTTTCTCAAAAAAAAGTTCTGCCCCTTTATATGGGAACTCTTTCTTTATGTTGACCTGAAACCTCAGAAAATGTTGCGTTTTTTTATATGAGAATGAAACAGAAATTATACTACTCCATCAAAATTTATTTATAGAACTTAGTAAAGCTGAATTATTCACTTGGCCTGTAAGTCTTTAGTAATTTTAAAGCAAAACACTTATTTCTGATACGGAAAATAATTGTATTTTTACAAGTGTAAATTAAAAATCAACCGTGCAACTCTCAACCTCACGTTTATTTGAGGGCTGAAAAGGCAGCACTTTTGCCGGATCAGAGCGCAACCTGCTGAGAAAGGAACACGACGCCTTGTGAAAGGGTTGAGAAAAGAACATGAAAATTTGACAGCGCTAACACAAGGCAGAATAAGTGCAGACTTTTTCGAGAAAAGAAAACGCTATAAGGCGACTATGAATAGCTTTAGTTGTAACTTATAGCGGAGACAGACAGGCTGAGTTAAGTTGAATTAAGTGGCACAAATGCAGATACGATTTTTACCCCTGACAGACAGCACCATTGTGCATAACAAATTTTCTTCTTCTACCTGCGCATTTAGTTATCAGCTGATTTGACAAAAACTTTGAGCTCAAAATGGAAAGGAGAGAAAAAATACGATTAGCAGCTATTTTGTTTGCAAAAAACAATTACTTATTTAAAAAAAAACTTAACATTCTTCTCTTAAAATTATTCAACAATATGAAAATAATTAATTCATTGGCAAGCATAGACCTTGCCACGATGTTTGAAGCTGGGATTGTTACACTTCCTGATATAAGAGAAAGGCAGCTGTGGAAATTGGTAAGCATATCTTTTATTTCCATTAGTACAATAAATATGCGATATTCTTTAAAGGATCGCAGCGGCACATTTTGGGAGCGTGATGTTCCTTTAATGGACGAAAATCGTTTCAAAGAAAATTTTCGACTCAATAGAAATGCTTTTCGGAGAATTTGTGAAAAAGTTCGAGGCATCGAAAAGGCGAACACTCATATGAGGCCATGTATTCCACTTCATAAAAGAGTGGCTATCTCACTATTCGCATTGGGATCTGCAGCGGAGTACAGGACTGTTGCAAGTCTTTTCGGAGTAGGACGCAGTACTGTTGGCGAAATTGTTTTGGATTTTTGCCAAGCAGTATGCGAAAATCTATGATTGCATTAAGTCATATCCTCCAAACCAACACGAAATCAGAAAAGTTGTTGATGGCTTCGCGCAAACTGGGTTTCCTCAATGCTTTGGAGCTGTGGATGGCTGCCACATAGAAGTTCAACCACCAAAAGATGATGCAACAGACTATTACAACTACAAGGGGTGGTATTCAGTGATCTTGCTAGCGAGCTGTGACCACCGGTATATTGAAACCTTTATTAAAATTTCTTTATAACAATTTAATGTAATGCCTAAACTTTTTACAGATCAAAATTTACTTACATAAATATTGGATCTACTGGTAGAAACAACGACTCTTACATTTTCGGAAAGAGTACATTGAAAAGATTCCATGAAACTGCCGATATTTTTACGCAGAATAGCAAATTCATAGGCGGCATCAATGTACCCGTTCTACTAATAGGCGATTCTGCTTTTCGCCTCTCCCGGTATATGATGAAACCGTTTCCATATTCGCCGAATCAGCCGTCTATAGAAAAAAACCTTTAACTACCAACTATCTAGGTGTCGTCGTCTAATCGAAAATGCATTCGGTTAACTTAAAGCACGGTTCAGAAAAATAGGTAGAGGTTAACAAGTCGCCCCAAAAAACATAAATACCATAATTAGAACGTGCTGCATTTTGCACAACTTCTTGAAATTAGAAAACGAATAAGGTTCTATTGGTTGAATGCAAGATTCAAGAGAAGATATTAATGCTAGAAATCAGCCAAGGCACACTACAAGAGTCGGCGAGAATGATGTGAATGCGTCCGCTATTAGAAATGCAATAGCTCGCAGTTTCCGTAAGCAAAAATATTACAAGTTTCCTATAAACATTAATCTATATCCGGAAACAGCAATAAATAAAAGTTTATTTATGTACATTACATTCATTCTTTTATTAATCCACTTTTTTACTATTAACTATCTTTTTCTGTCAATTTTTTCATTAACACTACTTACTAACTATAACAACCTATTAATCTATTAACTATATAATTAAAACAAAATTCAGTCTATACATTTCTGACATTTGGCTTATTTTTAAAGAAATTAATTTTAACATTCACTCGTCTTAATCTTATAACTATAAAATTAAAACAAAATTCAGTCTATTCATTTGACATTTCGCTTATTTTTAAAGAAATTAATTTTAATATTCAGTCGTCTTAATCTAATAACTATAAAATTAAAAGAAAATTCAGTCTATTCATTTGTCATTTCACTTATTTTTAAAGATATTAATTTTAACATGCACTCGTCTTAATAACTGTAACCCACCCTACATTGACAAGTTTTACTAACTATTTTTTATTATTTAATTTAAGTTTTCTTCTATATAGTCTATTTTTAATCAGAAACTGTATAATTCCAAATTTCAAACAGTAGAAAATTTCTGTAAAATTACATCTAAGTTTTGAGCTTTTTATTGTTTCTTAGAAACATTTTTAATATGCAGTCTTATAGCCCGTTGAATTTTAGTAGAATTAAGTGTAAGTGTAAAGTTCTAAAAAATCCCGCTGAATTTCGGCAATTCTTTTTGCTGGCAGCGTAACGTATTTTCCTCCATACAAAGTATGTTTGAAATTTTTTTATATGAAGGAAAATTACCAAAACCGAAAACAAAAAAATTGCCTGAAGTCAGCGGATTTTTCAGAAACTTCACACTTGCACTTTGTTTTAATAAAATTTGACAGGCTATAAAACTGCATACTACAAATCTCTCTAAAAAACAGTATTAAAAAGCTGAACATATAGATGCATTTTTGCATAAGTTATCTACTATTTGAAATGTGGATTTGTACAGTTTTTGCTTAAGAATAGACATGTATTTTTATAAAAAAAAATTAAATAATAAAAATGTTAGTGGGTAAAACTTTTCAATGTGTGGTGGATTTATAGCTATTACGACGAGTGTATGTACACTTATTTTCTAAATCTTATCTATTAAAACCTTCATTAACTTTTAAAACTCTTTCGAGGTGTCATTTTGCTCCCTTATGGCAGTAACAACCTCATTTGTTAGCACCTTGGTATCATGCACAACACTCCTTAGCAATTCTGTGTGTTCCTGCATGATTCTGATCACTTCTCCCGAACGTTTTCTTTTTCTTCCAGAAGAAGCAGGTGCAGATGAATCACCAGGCGACACAGCTGATACTGAAAGCAGTGGTACTGGCGAGGGCGTCGATGCTGCTTCCATGGATGGCGATGGTGAAGGTGTTGACGGTGCTAACGGAGGCGATGGAGATGGTGCTACTACCGACTGGCTGGATTCATTAAGTATTGTGTCCTAGGAAATGTATTTACATATGTAAATATTTTGGAAAACAAAATAAAAGTGAACTGAAAATACATACTAATAAAAATGACTCGTGCACTTCCGCATTGTTAACAGCGGTTCCCCCAATAATTGTGTACTGCCATATAATGCTTCCATGTTGCCATTCAACTTTTTTTTCGTGCAACCCTGCGCTGAGTTGAACGCAAATGTTGAACGCAAAGTTGAACAATGCAAACACACTTTAAGCGATTAGTTGAAAGGCTGTTTACACCAGGCGATTGTTGCTTTCAACAAAAATCGCCTGAAAAACCGCCTCATGTAAATTCCCTATAAATGCGATTCTAACGGGCTAGTCTCCTGCCCGCGTGATCTTGTATTTTTGGTTCATGGTCTAGTCACGGCACGATTAATCGAATAACCGATTATAATCAGAAAGTTTCATTCGTTTAACTGGCTGTCTTCACATGCTGAAAAATCTTGCTGGCGTTCTGCTTTTTTCTCTCGCAAGCTAGATATAGTTTTGTTGGGTTGGCTTTCCATTATGCCCGTAGGTTAAGGGGACGGTGGGTGAAGGGGGAGGAACCGTGGCGCCTCCCACCCACCACTTTAGAGAGGACATGAACCGCCATTCACAAAAATGCAACCCCCGACCACCTAGTCCCACTATAGGTCCCTAGGGACCCTTTACAAAAATGGGCAAAAATCACATTGTTCACTTGCGTTTTGCTGCTTTTTTCGCTTGGAAAAGGCTCAAAGCAGAAATATAAACATTCATAATCACTATTATTTCACCTGTCTCTCATATAAACACCTTTTTTAGGAATATTTTTTAATATTACTGCAATTTATGTATTAATTAAAAACGCTTTACAAAATTTCCGTGCCAACGATTAACAGGCAATAACGATTTCATTCAATGAACTGTGAAACGCTCAGTGCGAAGAAGAGCTTAAAAGAAAACGAAAAAGCACCCAACCAACCAAACGGAAAAGACCTAAGCATGAAAGGTGTTCTGCCCCTCTTCTTCGGCAACACGGAAAGGAGAATTCTACGTAGTGAGGGTTCTTCGGAAAAATACTGTGGGTTAACCACTCGCCTCTTCTTCATTCGGTATTTTGACAGTTCAACGTAAATAACTATTAGCTGTAAATTCGTATCGGTTTGTGATTTTGTTACATATTGTTGAAATATCTATATATATAATACGCGAAGGCATTTTTTGTGCAGCATAAAAGATCTGTACCGTTCGCCCCATTTTCAAAAATGAGATGTCAAATTAAAGCGCTTGGTCTGTAGATGTGCAATAAGGTTTTACTTTTTCGAAAAGAGTTGCCACCTGTTAAATAATTAAACTCAAGGTATTTACTAATCAATGCCCTCAGATCCGCAACGTCCGTTCGATTTCAAAAGTGAGGTACCAAATTAAATTAGGGTGTGGATGTTCAAGAAGGTTTTACTTTTTCGAAAAAAGTTGCCACCTGTTAAGAAATTAAGTTCAAATTAATTAAAAAGTTAAATGAATTATTAAATATGGGTATCAATCGAAACGGTATTGAAAAGGCTTTATAACTTAACTACGTATAGGAGGGTTGCCACAAGTTAAAAAAAATGTAATTCAATTTCAATTAAAGGAATTCGGAAACTTAATAAGATATCGCTATATGGGTGTCATACAAAAGATGTAGTTTGAAAATATTTTGAATAGGGTTGCCACCTATTTGAGAAGTCTAATTGAACTATTTTTTATATGAAATATTAACGATGGATGTCAAATGAAAGAGCTTCAAGAAATACTTACTTTGACAATTTAGAACATTTTTGATGTGTTTGAGGGTTGCCCCAGTTTAAAGGGCTAAACTAAACTTATTTAATAAGTTAAATAAATTACAAACCGATGGTTATCAATGGAAATGAGTTTAAAATCCTTTACTTAAGAACTATATTTAGGAGGATTGCCACGTGTTTAAAACATAAATTTCCACTTAATTCATCAGTTACATGGAATTTTATAACAATGTCAGACGAAAAATATTTAAGGAAATTTTAGTTCGAAAATAATTTTTATGAAGGTTGCCGCCTATTTTGAAAGTGGTATTTCGTTTAATTATACAAAAGTTACATGAAATTTTAAAATATGGTTATCAAAAGTACGAGTGTTAAGAAAACTTAAGCAGAACACTTGGTTTTTTTTTTGTTGAAAAAATTGGGCTCAAATTATTTAATAAGTGAAATGGATTGTCAAAAGATGGGTATCAATCGAAATGGATTTGAAAATAATTTATTTCTAAACTGTATTTAGGAGAGTTGCCATGTGCTTAAAAAATTAAATTCAATTTAATTCATCAGTTAATTGGAATATGTATAACAATGCCAGGCGAAAATTTTAGTTTGAAAATACTTTTAAAGGGGTTGCCACCTGTTTGAAAAGTCGGATTTGTTTTACTTATACGAAAGATACATAAATGAAATATCGAAATATTAGTGTCAAACGAAAGAGTTTTAAAAAAAACTATGGGCTGATAATATTTTTAATTATAGTTGCCATCTATTTTTTTTTGAAGGTCATCACATCTGCACCGTTATTTCGAATTTCCAAAATCAGAAGTAAAATTAAAGAACTGGGATTCTACGTAACTGTCCACAGGTTTCAGTTTTTGAAGTTACAGAGAGATTTGAAATTCGATGAAATGAATCGAGACCTCTCATCACTGAGAAATGGTTTAGATTAATCATTAGGACTATTTTTAGAGGTTTTTGAATAGGGTTTCACCTGTTTAAAAGATTTAATTAAATGTTGGCGTTTTGACGCCATGCGGTTTCACAAGTTGTTTTTATTATCGCTAATATAAACTTTAATAACTAAATTATAAATTTTAGTACAATTCCAAGTGTTTCCTGCGTTTTGATATAAGTGAGTGCTTTAATTTGCTTAAAACAAGCGAAAACGCAAGTGAAAATTGTGATTTTTGGTAATTTTTCTAATGGCTCCCTAGGGACCTACAGGGCGCCTACGAGATCCGGGATTGCATTTATGTCAATGGCGGTTCATGCCCTCTCCAAAAAGGGGTGAGAGGCGCCATGCCCCTTCCCCTTCCGCCCACCGCCCCTTTAACCAACGGCCATATTGGAAAGTTTCATAGCATATTTTTTCATTTGTAAAATGTCAAAAAAATAAGGTTTGAGCTTTTCAGGCCAAATTTGTATTTTCCAACAAAAACGATCTTTCTACTTTGAAGAATTCTGCGAAATGAGAAAAACCTGTCAGGCAACAAAAATGACAGTTGAAAGCATGCG